TGCCAGCCAGCCCGCCCCCTGGTGGGCTGAGCTGGCCACACACCTCTCTCTCTCTCTCTCTCTCTCTCTCTCTCTCTCTCTCTCTCTCTCTAATAAAAAAAAAATGAAGAGGGCTGGGGATATAGCTCAGTGGTACAACGTCTGCCTGGCAAGTACAAGGTCCTGGGTTCAATTCCCAGTACCAAGAAAATTAAAAAATGTTTTAAAAAGATGAGGAAACTGAGGCCAAGTGAGAATGGCTTAGTCTGGGGCCTCAGTGGATCGCAAGGCATCTGTGGGATCTACCAGGCTGTCGTAGGCTGAGTGTCCCTTGCCCAAAATACAGGGCGCCAGAAGTGTTTCCAACCTCAGAATGGATGCAGATTTTTTTCCAGACAATCAGCTGAGCAGCCCCAATCCCAAAATCTGAAATGTCATGAGGAAACTTTGGATTTTATTTTATAATATTTTTATTTTTTTTAAACTTTGGTTTTAGATGAAGGACCTCAAACTATCTACCCAGACGTTGAGTCAAGATCTCTTTCTTTCTTTTTCCTTCTTTTTTTTTGTCTTTCTGAGGCTGGGTTTCCCTTTTCAGCTCAGGCTGCTTTGAGCCCACTTTGTAGCCCAGGCTGGTCTCGAACTCACAGAGGTCCTCCTGCCTCGGCCTCAGGAGTGCGGGGACTCCAGGCCTGCACCACTACTCCTGGCCTTAAAGCTGATCTCGATTGCTCCTGATAAAGGAAAAGGAACTTCTTTATCCCCGGCTTGCCTGGGCGTAAAGCAAGGATGTCTTTCTCCCTTCAGATGGGCCTCTGCTGGAAGAGCTGGTGAGCTTCAGGGAGGATGTGACCAAGGAGTTGAAGAAAGCCTTAAGATCCTATGAATTAAAAGGTGCGGCCCAGCCATCCACCAAGCCCACCTCTCCTTCCCCAGTGATCCCTTTCTGCCATTTTTTCCTCCCACATTTCTTCCCCCACTCTCCTGTGACTCAGCCGTCACTTCCCCCCAATATTCATCTTTCTCCTTCCCAGAAGGCACCCTCCCTCTCCCCACCCCTTCCCAATTAAACTCTTAAACTGCTAAACTGCTGTCCCCACTTCACTCACCCCTGCTCTTTTTTCTTGCAGCCTGCGATCTCAGGACTTGCCGTGAGTCTGTTTTGTTGTCGCTCCCTCTGCCCTCTTACACCTTGTCCCCTAGTTCTCCCCTAAATCAAGCCCTCACATAATCCACTGGGCGGTTCCCCTACCCCACACCCATAGTGTGAAAGAGTGTGCCAGTGTGAGGCCTTATGAAAATGCCTGGTACCTGCCAAGTAGTGCCTTTGGCTACTCGGGATAGGATGGGCTAATGTATTGTGTCAAACCCCCACATCTGGGTGCGTTGGCACAATAAGCATTTTAGGTGTTTCTCTGTCACCTAAAAGAACCCAAGAACTCTTCCAAATAGGGGCTCTGGGATTTCCCCTACACTCATACCTTTGAAGCTGAGTTAGTCGGCCAATCTTGGAAGTGAGGCATCCACTGTGGTCACTCTCCATTAGCTGGAACTAGTCATATAGTTTCAATTTGTTGCAATGGAGCCTGGGAAATGTAGTTTTCCTGTGCACAGGAAGGGGAACCAGCTAAGAAGGCATCCTGCCTGTCTCTAGTGTTTCAAAAAAATAGGAAAAGCACAAACTCAGTATTAATACATGTTTAATTAAATGTCTACAAGTGGAATGTTGGGTCAACTGGAGTACTGCTACTCAATTTAATTTTTCAATAATTACACAAAAATTATTTCTCGTGTGAACTGTTGCTGCATTTGTGTCCACGCTTGGGGCCCGCCATACTACAGAAGAACTGGGGGACCCCATCTCCTCTTGCCCTTCTTCCGTCCCACCCCTTGCCACTTCTCCGGGTCAGCTCTCATCCTGCTTCTCCCTTTCCCCTTGTCTAGACCTGCTCAGAGAGGAAGTCGTCTTGGACTGCTTGAACTGCCAGAAAACCAGTCCCAGATGTATCAGACAGGAGTACTGCTTCGGTAAGCTTGAGGGCGCGGACGGCGGGACAGCTGTCTGCGAGGTGGAGACAGCCTTGTTCTGGTGGACACGGGTCTTGAGTAGCCTTGGATTCTGCCCCTGCCACTTCTTACAGGGTGGCACAGAAGTGGCTTCCATGTGCTGAAATTCTGTCACTTCTGTTAAGTGGGAGGAACCTGCTGGAACTTAACGCCCCGAACACCAGAATGGCAAGTTCTAGAGAAGAGTTCATCCCTATCCATTGCCATGTCGAGGAAGCCCAGAAAGAGGGGTTGAATTAAGTCATTCATTCGCTCATTCATTCATTCATTCATGCATTCATGGGACACACGTGCACACATGCGCGTATCCTTATGGCAGCGGGAGCAGCACAGTGAATCCGTGCTTGCCCATCCGGCTTATGCAGCTGTCGCCCTGGGCCCCTGCGGATGGTGCCCGTCCTCTGCCGCAGCCTCCCCGCCCTCATCTCATTCAGATCTCAGTCACCTGTCCGTGAGGCCCCTCTGACCACAGTCTGCCAAGAGATGCCTTCCACCATGCTGTGGTCACAGTCGCCTATCTCGGCCTGACAAATTTTATTCTTTGCCGTAGTATTTTAAACAAGATCACGGACATCATGCAATTTCCCTATAAATTTCCAATTTCCTTATTTCATCTATAGCGTATACTCTAAAAATAAGGTCCTTTTCCTACATAACCACACTGCCACTGTCATATTCAACACATCTAATGACAGTTCTGCAGGAGCAAAACATTCAAGCTCTTCTATCCGCACCCTTCATTGCCAACAATATTTTTCCCTATTTGCACAAATCAGGATTCAGTATAAGCCTTCCCCAGATTGTTTAGTTGTTTGGGTTATCTATTTATGTATTATTTATTTATCTGTATGTACATATGTGTGTATTCTGGAGCCAGGGTCTCCCTGTATAGCCCAGGCTGGCCTCGACCTCACAGCAGTCCTCCTGCCTCAGCCTCAAGTGCTGGGATCACAGGCGTGTGCCACCACACGCGGCTTTCGCTCTAGTTTTAAATCTAAGATTCTCCTTCCAGTTTCCCTTCCCTGACACCGGCTAGTTGAAAAGCAGCAGTTTATCCTAAAGAGTGTCCTGTTCTCAGACTCATCTGTGTCTTCTGGGTGGAGTTTAATCAATATTTTGAGTACCCGGTAGTGCTCTGACCTGAGTGAGGGTCAGGAAAATGGGACAGTTTTGGTTTTCTTTTGAAGGGGACACAGGTTTTGATGGAGCCACCATTATTATTATTATTATTATTATTATTATTATTATTGGCGGAACTGGGGATTGAACTCAGGCCCTTGTGCTTGCCAGGGAAGCGCTTATTCACTGAGCCATCTCCCCAGTCCCCATTGAGCCACCTTAAAGGAGGTGAGGGGTTGGAGTGTGAGTGATAAAAAGGAAAACATTACAAAGATCTCATGTGAGGAAGCAAAAAAGAAGACAAGCAGTGTGGCCAGGGGAGACTCAGTGAACGGAGAGCGGTGGGTGAAGGAGAGCAGCGGGACAGCTACATTGTGGGCGAGGTCACGGATCAGATGGATCCATGAGGGCCAGCTGGGCCTCGGGCTTTTTTAAATTCAGAGACGCGAGCCTTGGAGCTGCCTGGCTCCAAGAGCCTCAGAGACCTGAGGTTTTTGGTGTGCTGCTGGCGCCCCCTGGAGACCGTGTGAGGAAGTGTAGGGTTGCTGCAGGGATTCCCGTAGGAAAAGCGGTCGGTGGTGGGGTTGGACCAAGTCGATAGTTACAGAGGTGAGCTGGATTGGGCTTGTGGTTAGGACGCTTTGCTGATGGGAGGAAAGCGTTGGGGACGCAGGAGAGTGGAAGGTGCAGGGCACAGCTCCCATGGTTCCCTTCAGGGTGACGGGGTGGTGGTGCGAGGTTAAGGAAGGGTGGTGATTTGAGCCCTGCTGTCCCCCCTCCTTCCCCAGTGGACAAGCAGCCACGCGTGATCCTGGATTTCGGGGTGATCAGCAGATACCTGAAGGCCCAGCCCCTGGTGGGCATCGTCATGGCCGTGTTTCTGGCTGTCTTTTTCTTCTTGGTCGTCCTGATCGCGTGAGTCATTCCTGCCTCTTCCTAAGTCCCCCAGTACCTCCTGGGTCCCCTGAAAAATGGCACCTGCCAAATGAGTCACTGCGTTCCTCCCTGGTCACTCCACGTCCTCCTCCTCTCCGTCTCCTCCCTCTCTCCTCTTCTCCCTCCTCTGTCTCTGTCCCTCTTTCCTTCCCTCCCCTCCCACCTTCCTCAGTCCCCTGTGACTCTCACCTGTCACCGCTTTCTCGCATCTCCTTTCCCCACACCCCAAGTCGCTTCCCAAGACGTTCAACAGTTTCCCTTTGTTGCCCACTTCTTCCGTAAAAAGATTTCGAGCTGGAGTTGTAGTTTGTCCTCATGTGCAGAGACTGCTTGCCTTCGTCTCCCACTCGGGTGCTTCCTCTCTGCCTCTGGCCGCGTGTGGCCCCTCAGCCTCTTGCCCAACTCCCTCTCCCCTCCGTGCTTTTCTCTGGCTCTCTGCCTCCTCTTCCTCCTGTCACATCAACCTCCTTTCCTAAGACACCGGTCTGTCCAAGCTCAGGGGCAGCGAGTCAGCGGTCACACGTAGCGCTTGGCGCACCAGGCGAGCTCTCGGTGGCTGTGAGCTCCTAACGTGGCCTTTTTCTTGTTGTATTTTGCACCTCGCTTCCATCTCTGACACCGTCCCCGCCCCCGTTTCTTTGTCCTTGCATCTCTTTCCTGAGACAGCTGCAGCCTCTGACCTCATCTGAGTGGCTAAAAGCAGCAGAAGCTTATTCTCTGAGTTCTGGAGGTCAGAAGTCCCGCGTCAGGGGCCGCCGGGGGGGCTCCCTCCGGAGTTGCTGAGGGAGGATGCGCTCCGTGCTCGCCTCCCGGCGGCGGCCGGCGGCTGCTGGCGCCCTCGGCGAGCTTCGGCGCTCGCTTCCGCAGTCTCTGCCTCTGCCCTCACGCTGCGCCGCCCTCTGGGCCTGTGTCCCCGAGCCCGCTCTCCTTTCCTCTTAGGAAGACAGCGGACTGGGTGGATGCTAAGTCTAAGTCCAAGATCATTTTATTTTTTTATTTTTTCTGTATTTTAGGGAAGGGTCTACAGGGTGTTTGGGGTCTCACTACTGGATCAGACTTGTAGTGATCTGCCTCTTTACAGCCTCCCAAGAGCTGGGATTACAGGCGCATGCCACTACACCCAGTCTCAATTGCCATCTCAGCGTGCCTGGGGGGCTGGGCTGGCACGGTAGGCCCGGGGATCGAACCCCGTGCCCCTGAGCCTGCTTACAGGAACATTAATCCGCCGAGCTATTTGGCTGGCCCTTAAATCCAAGGTAATTTTTTGTCTCACTTTAATCTACCCTATTTCCAGAGGCTCCCATTCCCAGGAACTGGAGTTGACACTTGGATGTGTCAGTTGGAAGGAACACAGTTTACCCTGCTATACTTGCTTCTCTCCATTTCAGACTTCCTTATCTTTGTTCCTTTTTTCCCAGTGTACACTTATGCCAAGTCCCAACTTTTCTTTCTTCTCTCAAGTACCTATATGGATTGGGTGAGAACCTCAGAAATCTGCCCAGAAACCCATGATGTCACTGCCTGAACTAAAGCAGGCCAATGATTGGAGGGACATTTGAGGGCGGGTCAGTTGCCCCAAATTTTCTTTCTAACATCCAGGCTTTTTTCTTTTCTTTTCTTTTTTTCCCCCCTCTCTCTTTCTTTTTTTCTTTTTCTTTTTTTTTTCTTCCCTCTGACCAGGGCTTATACATACAGGCAAAATCGAAAACTCCTGCTGCGGTAGGGTTGTGACTTTGGAATTTGTAAGGGGAAAAGTTCAATAAAATCTATGAAAAACTATGTTGGCCATTCCTAGTTATATTTTTTTTTTCATTTCTCTTTGGACCATGATAAGCCTTTCAGTTGTGACTTCAGAGCTGGGTAACTTTGAAATTAAAATGAAGAGACTATGCGGTAAGGTGGTTTGCATGTCTAACATCAGCAGGTGTTTTCTAGGCGTGTTACGGGCTCACTCCAACCCATTCGGCTTAATGCTCCAAAATGACTAATGCAATGATAATAGTATAGCAAATTACGATGAATAGCTTTATTCGTGTGTTCTAAAAAGTCATATGTTCGGGCTGGGGAGATGACTCAGCAGCGTGTCTGCCTGGCAAGTGCAAGGTCCTGAGTTCGATCCCCATTTCTCCCCCCAAAAGGTCATATGTTCACATGCTTGAATCCAGGCATCAGAATTTAAGCAACTGTTGAAATCTGTGAACATCTCCTTAATATACTGATTACAAAGCAAGCCCCTCACAAAATCTCCAAAAGATGGAAAGTCATTCAGAGTTTCCAAAGAGCAGGATGACCTTTCATGAAGGTTTGAAAGGGCAACCATTCCTCTTGTGGGAGGAAATGTGCCTGAAAGAAGGTAGTGGAGGAGCAGGTGAGGTGGCTCGGTGGTCTGAAGCACCTACTTGGAACAAGCTTGGCAGAGCACGGGGGACCGTGGTTCGATCTCCCACCACCACATGCCAGCCAGCCCCGCCCCCTGGTGGGCTGAGCTGGCCACACACACACACATAAATAAAATTAAAAAAAAAAAAGAAAGAAAATGATTTGAAAAAAAAAAAAAAAGAAAGAAGATAGTGGACCCCCAATGGTGGTTACATAAGGGGAACAGTGGTGTGCGTGTGTGTGTGTGTGTGTGTGTGTGTGTGTGTAGGCTTCACTCTCTGAACACTTCCTTTTTGTATGTACCTGAATAAATTTGAATATATTTTAAGTAAATGGAAATTTCGTTACTCAGCAACCCAAATCGGACCAAATATGTTTGGATAACACAGGCCCCCTCCATCTTTCAGCTTGCCAGCAGAACCATCCCTATGCAATTGAGGATTCAGATAATGAGGGACGGATGACAAGATGGGCAGGGATGAGGAAAAGCTGGATTCAGCAGAAGATTGAGTGACTAGAATGATCCCAGCTCGGTCTAGACGCTCAGTAAGCGGGAGGGGGCTACAAAAATGATCTGTGCACCGAGAGTTTACACTTCGGGGAAAGAGTTTACCAGTATCTGGAATTAAGACCTTACTTACCTTCTGGGTCCAGGTAGGTAAAGTGAATAGCTTCAAGTTTTCACACATAATGACAGGAATTAAAAAAACAAAACAACTCAGCTTTATCATACAGCAAAACAGCCTCAGTGTTCCAGATTTTCACATTTTTTAAGAGAATACAGACATTCAGACTTATTTGTATGTGAAATTTCTCCATAACTAATGTTGGCAGCTATTGTATTCCAAACAAAGCACGCCTTGCTATCTCTGTAAGAAGGCGGGAAAACTTTTGGGACTGTATGTGGTTATAGGTGTGTGTGTGTGTGTGTGTGTGTGTGTGTGTGTGTGTGTTACCAGGGATAGAACTCAGGACCTTGCGCTTGCCAGGCAGGCACTTATGCCACTGAGCTATATCCCTGGCCCTTGGACTTTATATTTGGGAAAAATTAACAAAGTTTTAAGTGTTGCTGTCCGTTCCTGGACACTGTCATCTACGTTTTACAAAATTCTGGGCCCCTGCGCAAGCTTCTGCTGCCAAAGAGGCTGTCCTCCAGTTCGGTTAAAGATAGGAGGGTGTTGTGTAGACACGACTTCCGATTGGCTAAAACCTAGACTTTTTCCTTTCTGCTCCACCTGTTGCCGAGATACCAGTTTTTACACAAGCGCAGTGGAACAGGCCTCGAGGGGGCGCAGATTTTGAAGAGGCTGGCTTTCATCCAGAGAACTCTGGGAGCAGTAGTTTCTGGCGGCCTAGACTATTGTGCCCTTGTAGCGCCTTCCTTTCAATATC